TCACCTTAATCTACTGCACATTTTCATTATACACCCTTGATTATGCAAGCATTTCCTAACTCTGTAATCGACTCATTATTTCACCCTAAAACATTCTGTCTGCACTACCTAATGTTGATCTATTAGCCAATAATAAACTAATCTATTTGTTTATTATTACTATAAGTACGACTAAACACCTGATGAAAATGATCAATCGGAAAGAAAATTTTCTTCGCTGAATTCATTTTTTTTCAGTGTGAGGTTTTGAGTGCAGTTTCAGTAGACCACAGATGCTGTTACGTGAAATCATATACCTATCAAGAGCAGCAGGGGTGGAAGAAATTAGGTCATGTAGGAATGTTGATCAGGAGACGTGAAGAAGAAGATTATGTTGAAGGTTGACATTGCTCTGAGCCATAATAAAGTTGTGAGGGTGGTCTACACTTCATGGCTGCCCACATCGTGGAAAGGTAGTCCCTCTTGAGGTAATTAATAAAGAAGGGCTAGTGTGTGACCGCAGAGTCCAAAGGATATTGGCTTGTGGCCGGTCGCACATAGTCTTTTTAGATGTTTGATAGCTTAGTTTGCCTTATGCAAATCCAACTTGAACCCTGATCGCTAACACTCATAATGTGTGGGGTAGAGGAGAGTGTACTGTTTTTAGGACCGATCTATCGTAATCTATGGGAAACGCCCTACAGCTGTCACATAACCAACCAGCCAACATTGGAACTTCGCCCACAGACTCCTATCATAGCGCAGCAATCTATACTACAACAGTAAAATCAATATGTTTCGCGACAATCCAACAAACCTTTCTGGTATGATCTGGTAGGATCTCAAGGGAACAATCTTTTTACCAAAGTAATTCATTGGGTTACTGAGACATGCAAGCCGAATCACCATACCAAGATAACAGCTACCGGTCAGGTCAAATACATACGTAAAGTAGTCCAACAAGGTAAATAAGAATAACAGAGTACAAAAACTTGACCAAATCTGAAATGCGAGACCTTAGTAAGATAAGAAGTAAAGAGAAAAGCTCACCCATTGCGATGCGTGCAATAACACATAACCAAATCATAGACTTAGACAGAATACGGGTGCCTAAAACGAGGGAGGCATTTATAACTATAACTTTGTTTGTCGAATCAACATCGAACACACGCAATAAGAATGACTCAACACCTATTCTAAATATCTGAAAAGTTCTACTACCTATATGATAAATGAGAGATAAGAAACAGAACCAACCTCGCCTGGTTAACTAGTTCACTACTTACTACCCGGTCCTAAGCCCCCATAAAGAGGGAAGGTTGGGCATAGGGCTAGCAACCCTACCCCGGAAAACAAATCTAACCGCTAAACAAACTTCAAAGCACAAACAAAATATAAAAAATAAAAACAAACTTATTCCCCGCTGGAATCGGAGAGGCGAAATGACGCCAGTTGGTGAAAGCCTTCGGGAAGCCAATTGGCCGATGTGTCTTCTCTTCCTCGATGAAAGCGAAAGTAAACATGGGGACATGGAATGTCTGTACGATGTTTGAACCCAGTAAGGCAGCCCAGATTGCAAAGGAGATGAGAAGGTATCACATTGAAGTGCTTGGGATTTGCGAAAGCAGATGGAATGGGAGTGGACTCTCCAAACTGTCAACTGCAGAATCAATAATCTACTCCGATATTGTCACCCAAACGACAACCACGAGTACACTGAGTTTTCCAGTGGCTATCATGATGTCCCCTTGAAGAGCATCGAAGGCTCTCATATAGTGGGAACCAATCTCCTCCACGATCAGGATCATCACAGCAAGATTCAACTCAAAAGGAAGGAAGATCACAATCATACAATGTTATGCACCTACAAATAATGCAGAGCAAGAGAAAAAGGAGGATTTCTACAGACAACTCCAATCAACACTGGACAAGACGTCAGTTGGCGATATCAAAATTCTAATGGGCAACATGAATGCCAAACTGGGAGGGGACAACACGGGAAGAGAACTAACCATGGGTCGAGAGGCGCTAGGTGAAATGAACGAGAATGGAGAATTGTTTGCAGAATTCTGTGCATTCAACGATTTGGTGATTGGAGGCAGTGTGTTCAGGCACAAAGATATCCACAAAGCGACATGGATTTCACCAGATGGACACACTAAAAATCAAATCGACTTTATCTCAATCTCAAGAAAATGGAGACGCAGTCTACTTAACACAAGGTGAAGAAGAGGAGCAGATGTAGGTTCAAACAACTCACTATCTAGTGCAAGGAACCTACCTTCCAAATCAAGTTAAAAGCCTTCAAGGAAGTTGGTGATAGACCTCAATTCAAGTACAACACTCGGAAACTAAAGGATGAAACTACAAAGCAGATCTTCAAGGCAGCCAGCCATCAAGACAAAATGGGACGAATCGAGGAACATCCCTGACGAAACCTGTGTGGAAGAACACTGGAACTCTTTGAAGGCTATGTGGAAAGAAACCTGCACAACAGTATTAGGAAGGAAGAAGAAAGAAGATAAGGAATGGAATGGATCTCAACGGATACATGGAAGCTGATAGAGGAGAGGAGGATGGTGAAGCAGAAGATAAACCAGTGCAGTGCAAGGATGCTCAATGACAAGAGGAACTGAGTACAATGTATAAAACAGTGGACAAAGAAGTGAAGAAGAGTGCACGCAAAGCCAAAAGACACTTCTACGAAACACTGGCAAGTGAAGTAGAATAGGCTGCAGGCTAGTAGGAGAGACCTGACAACATTGTATCAAATAATCAGGTTGTTATCAGGGAAGAGATCAACACACATGAAACCAATAAAAGATGATGACAGAAATTTAATTACGAAAGAAGAGAAACAGAGGAAACAATGGGCCGACCTCTTCAACAAGCTCTTGAATCCACCACCACCACCACCACCACCTGCACTTCGTCCAGAAATAACAACCACCTACAACCGCTGAACTACAAGTGAACATAAATCCTCCAACAAAAATGGAAGTCCCGAACGCCATAAAGCTACTGAAATGTGGGAAAGCAGCAGGACCAGATGGGATCTCACCAGAAGCACTGAAAACAGACGCAGAGACAACAGCAGCGGACATGCTCACACCACTATTGCAGAAGGTGTGGAAGGAAGGGAAGGTACCTGCCCACTGATTGGAAGAAGGGTTACCTTGTCAAACTGCCGAAGAAGGGAGACCTCAGTGTTGGCAAGAACTGGCACGGAATCACTCTCCTGTCCACCCAGAGCAAACAAAATACTAAGCCGCATCATCCTGGAGAGGCTAAAGGATGCACTGGATTCAAAACTACGACCGCAACAGGCAGGCTTCGGGAAGCACAAATCATGTGCCGACCAAATTGCAACACTACGCCTCGCATCATCATAGAACAGGGTATAGAATGGCAGTCAACTCTCCACCTTACCTCAACTTCATCGACTTTGAGAAGGCCTTTGACAGCGTCGACCGAGAGGTAATTTGGAAACTGCCTCATTACTAGGGAGTACCGCAAACCTTTATCCGCCTCATTCAACAACTATATGAAGATGCCACATGCCAAGTAATTCACAATGGGAAGCTCAGTGATGCCTTTGAAGTGAAGACAGGAGTGAAACAAGGTTGCCTACTATCACCCATGATATTCCTTATTGTGGTGGACTGGATCATGCAGCAAACAGTGGGGAGCGAGAAGAGGGGGATACGCTGGACGACGGAAAAGAACCTAGAAGACTTGGATTTCGCCAACGATGACTTGTGCCTAATGTCACATAAACTTGAAGATCTACAGGCAAAAACTAACAAGTTGACAGAAGAGGCAGCTAAGACGGGACTTCAGGTGAATATAGAGAAGACAGAAGTGATGAAGATACCGCACCACCAACAACAACAACAAACTCCAATCACCGTCAACGGGAGAAACTTAAAGGAAGTAACCTCCTTCACTTATCTAGGAAGCACTGTTTCAACTACAGGCGGGACAGACGAGGATGTCAAAGTGAGAATCGGAAAAGCAAGACAGGCGTTCATTAGCCTGAAACCAGTGTGGAGATCTTCTGCACTCAGCATGTGGAACAAGATACGGATTTTCAACACTAACGTCAGTCAAGTCAGTGATTCTGTATGGTTCAGAGACTTGGCGCGTCACGAAAGGCATTTCCAATAAACTACAGACATTCATCAACAACTGCTTACGCTGGCTCGCTACTGAAGATCAGATGGCCAGAATAGTCAGAATAAGCAACAAGGAACTCTGGGAACGAACCAACCAAGAACCTATCACACAACAAATATGCAGGAGGAAGTGGAGATGGATTGGCCATGCACTGAGAAGGCCGACTGGGGACATCACGCGTCAGGCCAGTTCCTCGAGTGGAATCCCCATGGGAAGCGACGAGTTGGACGTCCAAGGGTGACATGGAGGAGGTCGTGCGAGGAAGAAATGAGAGCTTCTGGGCTGTCGTGGAACCAGGTCCAAAAGATCTCAGAGAACAGAGGTCACTGGAGACGTGCTACTGAAGCCGTATGTTCCACTAGGAACCCAAGGGACTAATAATAATATAATAATAATAACCATTGGAAGGACTACTTCGAAACTCCAGTCGTAGACTGACATGAGTTTGAGGAACAGAAGAAATCTGGGAGCACTGAACAGCTGTTTCCTCCTAGTATAGGACTCGTCAGAAGTGCACACTCACAACTCCGCCCTCCAAGGATCGAACCCACCACCTTCAGGTTCCGCGGTCAGCACGTTACCATTGAGCTAGCCAGTAAATAATACTGTCACATTGTTTGAAACATCTAACATGAAATTATAGATTTGCTTTATAGTATGCGTTAAAATCTCAGAAATAGGAAACTTGTTCCTATAAAGAAAAAATCCCACAAAGTGTAAACTTGACAATGATCTAGTAACCATGTACACACTTCATAGGAAATTGTCCTTCATACTAAAAGCAATTCTTCAATGTAGATAAACAAATCGTATAAATTTGAAGAATTCAAGAGAACCAAATCATCTTTCATCATAAAACTGTATCTTTTTTTTTCTCATAAAATACTATAACCAGTCAAATTTATTACATAATAATAAAAACAACACAAAGGAGACAGAAAATAATAATTATATGACAATGATATGTTGAAAATATCATAAATGATAATGACAGAACTAATAAACGATAAATAATGATAAAAATGTATCATATATGAAAAACAAAAATTTGCTGTACAAATTTAAAGGAGTAAAATGCATATACAGCCACATACACGCACACACACACACACACACATACATACACAGACAACTATATACACATTTACATGATTAGTATTATGATATTTATCATTTATTATTTTACATTATAAAACTATGATTTTTAAAAGAATTTAATCAGATTTATTCGGCCATAACATATATCTACCTTGTTTCAATTGTTGAACTGTTACACGACATATCCCATGATCTGAACTTCTTCTGATTGCTATATCTTGTACACCAACTGAAGCTATAGTACCAGTACATCTATGACTTGAACCATCACGACCTTCTAAAATAACTGATGCACCAATTTGATAACTAATCATAAATAAATGATTGAAAATAAATAAATTAAAAAAAAAATAATGAACAGTTTTCTTTTCAATATCATCTTTAATGAAAACAATACTTCAATTAGAAGACAAGTTATCTCGGTTAAGTATTTAATCATTTACTTTAATTAGCAGAGTTATCATTTTATCCATTACAATTCGATAATAAACGAGCTTAAAATATGAAATGATGAAGTAGTAAGCAGATAATTTGTACTTAAATAGTTCAGAGAATCAATTCTCAATTATTTCATCGTTATTATTTGTTGTTAATTGCAAGTCAATTAATGGTTGATTTAAAGTATACAGATGACATCGCCTAGTTAGGTGAAGATCTTCTGAAGCAGAAATCTCAGTATGTTTGGCAAACATAACGTACCTCTTAAATGCAAGATGATGCTTCAAAACTGGACTGTACCTAATCCCATTTTAATGATAAGGAGTGATGCAGTTAAATGCGGTGACCACTTCACTTACTTGAGGAGTTGCATCAGTCCAAATGGCTTGGTTGATGATAAAATCTCACCTCGTTTGGCATTTGCCAAGTTGTATCATCTTTGACAGATGTTCGGTTATCTATCAGTAGACGAGTATACTCCACTGCAGCCCGTCTTGTCATCTGATACGGTTGCGAGACATTACCATTGAAAGTAGAAGACATGAGGTGGTTACAGGTTCCTGATGAAAGGTGTCTTCGTAGAACTGCACGCGTGTGGCGGAATCACCGCATTATCTATGTCGAGCTTAGGCAAAGAATATCATAGCCCATGAGGTGAACCTTAGTCGACTGAGATGGCTTGGGCATATACTGCGCACGCCGAGCCACCGCATACCTTAACGGGGAAGTAAGATTAGGTTAGAAGAGAGTTCAAGTTGACCATATCAAGAAATGGCATTCATGCATAAAATCCCTGACTTTTGGTTTGAACCCTACACGGAGATGTATAGTGACTAGCTGCGGATCCTGAGGCATAGATGTATACACACTTTGACCTCTTCTAAAGCCTGAATGTTGTATTAAGCGTTGTCTTCAAATTGTTGCTCTCATACACCTTTGTCTACTTTGATATATTTCTTTGTCTGTATGGCAAATTGAACTAATACACTTCTAGGCGAGGTTCTATGTTGACTTTCCTGTGGAGATTACGGAGAATATTTGTAGCTCAAGAGAACATCATCATGACGTCTAGAATGACAATCAAAGCTTCACGAATAAAACAATCACAATGATTTATCTGTCTTTTCTAGAAACAATAAGTAGGTACACTAGTCTGTTTGCGTTTAATTACAGTTAGTACTGCAACAACAGTGAAGCACTCATCACTAAAAGTATGTCACTCATAAGACTATCTGAGATAGTCACAGTTTGGCAGAGATCGAGGTCGCTGGTTCGAATTTTTCTGTTACACAGGTTTTCATTTTACCTTCAATCAAACCCAATCACAAAAATTATTTATTGTTATTTTTCCTTTGGGTTCCTAGTGGAACATAAGGATTCATTAGCACGTCACCACTTCACTCTCTTCTCTATAGTCTTCTTAACCTGGCGCCACCACTGCCCATAAGCTTTCATTTCTTCCTCACACTGTCCACTCCATGTCACCATCAACTGGGACGCCCAACTCGTCGTTTCCCATTCCAGTTCCACTCCACTCCACGGTCTAGACTGGCCTAATGCGTGATGTCCCCCCACCAAAACGCTCTTCTCAGTGTATATCCAATCCAATCCATCTCCACTTTCTTCCTCTACATATTTGTTGGGCGATAGGTTGTTGCTTCGTTGCTAGCTAGCCAGAGTTCCTCCTTGCTTTTTCTTATTATTCTCCCCATCCATCTGATCTTCAGTATCGAGTGAGCGTAGGCGTAGGTGGCAGTTGTTGATGTGTGTCGGTAGTTTGTTGGAAATGCTTTTCGTAAGGCGCCAAGTCTCTCAACCATCACATGGAAGCACTGACTGACTGAATTAGTGTTCACAATCCGAATGTTTTTCACACTTTATGCTGAGTGGAATGCAGTGCAGCAGATCTCCACACTGATTATTTCAGATTAATGAAGGAAGGGGTGTCTTGGTGTCTTTCCGATCCCGGCTGGCTTTGACGTCCTCATCTGTGCCGCCACCACCTGTAGTTGAGATGATGGTGTCTAGTTGTGTAGGTAGGTGAAGGAGACAACTTCCTTTAGATTTCATGGTGATTGGTGCTTGTCGTTGTTGGTCGGGTATCTTCATCACCTCTATCTTCACTACATTCACCTGAAGTCCCGTATTCACTGCCTCGCAGTAACGAAAATACGCTACCTGAAATGACAACTCTTGTGAAAATTCAGGCGATATACACTAACCGTTGAATGTGTCTGTAGAGCATAAATGGATATCACGTATATTACAATGACACAGTATAAACAACAATTTTCATGTGGTAAATGTGAGTTTTTAAAAAGTATTCACCTGATAAAAAGTATTAGCGAGAATAAAAAAAAGACCAAATTCAACAAATTACCATTTATGTCCACAATAAAGTCGACCATCGTCTATCCACACAGAAAAGGATGTATTCGGTTGACTATTGGAATTATTACCACCGCCAGCTGAACTACGTGTACAAGTGCGTGTCACTGACGAATCAGCAACATAGTACGGATTGGGTGAACCAAGTGATCCAGTAGACAATGAAGACAGTATACCTGGTCCATTAGTATCTTTTTGGTTTCTGTATGAGCCTATATTATCTTCATAACATTTACTCAAAGGACTTAATGGGCTGCTATGACCCAATTGAAATGCATTAGAACTATTATTGCCATGCATATGTGCGTGTTTCCGACTACCACCTGTTGTTCCACTGGATGAATTAGAAGCATTTGATGCTTTAGAACAAGCTCTACAAAAGAAAACAAAAAGTACTCACAAAAAAAAATGAAAAAGAAGCTTGAACATTTTGTATACCTGATGCAACAAGACCGTATGAAAATACGACTCAATCAGTTGTATGGTATCAGTATGAAACTGGCATAACTGAGTAATGGTCCCAGTTGCCACACATCAAATTAGAAAGGGCTAAGATGAAGGATAAAGAAATAAGTAGTCAAAATTGTTAGAAACTCGTAAAAGAAAAAAAATGCTGAACAATCAACGGATTTGAGTATGAAGATTAAGACAGCCTAAATTCTAACCAACCACCGACTTCAGTTTTTACACAAGCATGTGTAACACATGTCACAACTAGCTCGGTCGACAAATGTTTACAACCTCATCAAATAACTTCCCTCTTCTACATGATCCTACACTTCCAATTATGACTTACTCAAGTAACCACACAACCACACACAACTTCTCTTACAAAGGCAACAAGTGGTACAACACCTCAAGTATCCCACATTTCCTCTCTCTACCTTCAATAAACATGTTTCACAACCATATGCTACATCACACTCAACTCCAACACACTTAATACACAATCCATTATCATGCCATTCCACTCATAAATGCGATTACTTGACGAAACTCAACCAACCCTCTCACATCTCTACACAAATTTCGTCCAACACCAACCCACCACATCACGGCGAACCCCACTTCGCAACTAAATGAAGTCCTCAACTCTCTACACCACTCCATTCACCAACGTTAAAATAGACACCCAGCTAACACCCATTCTCCAGCCACAATTTCCACTTCCTTCTTGTGAAATGCATTCCAAACATACTCAAGTCGATACTCAATGTGTCCACAAGACTCCACATTCTGTCAGCGTCTTCACCCAATAATAGCACCATATCATCATCTCCCGACTCTAGACCTATTAAGAACTTTTCTGCCACAAAAATCAATCTCTGTGAAGTCAGACAACGAGAAGGAAACCCCTGTGAGTATGGTGATGACAAAATTGAGTAGGGATGAAGAGAGTCAACTTTCTTGAAGGAAATCATTCAGCATGCACAACTCACTTGATAACTCACTGTTGGCTCTTAAATACCTGCTTGAGCACTGTGATTGGGTATTCATTTCATATTAGATTGTTTATGTGATATAGGAAACAGTGATAAAGTATTCAGTAAAACAATATGAAGACGTAATCTGTCTGAATTGTATCGAAATTCATAAAAGTATGATTTACTGGATTTCATTGCTTGTTATCGTACTAAAGTAATCATAAACTTTGGTTCAACTGTTCTCAATTCATTCATTTCTAAAAATAGAATAATTTAGAAATTCCTACCATATGTGATGAATAATCTCTGTTACATGTGTCAGGTGTTGATTCCATGAATAAAGATTTAATATTCCGTTGCCCTATTCACCTAGTTATATTGTATTCAAAAGCTGTCACTTCATGCTACCCTTCGGTGTTATTATAACTCAGAGTAAGGATAGCATTAGCTGAGCTTTCCTCGAGCTTACTGACTGGTCTATCCTTCCACATTTCACTAAATTTTCATAGTCGTATTTATGGGACTGAAATTATTAGCATTCGTTAGTGACTGGCCTTCATTATATTGTATTCTATCAAATGTTAAATATATTTAGAAGAGGTAAGCGGTAGATTTGAAACACAGTAGCTTAGTAGACAGTATTTAGATGTTTGAAAGAGATGCTGAGTTCCAGTAACCAAAAAAACACTAAAACTCAACTACATTCAAACTGTGAATTCGAAAGAGGATAGTGTTGAAAATTACTGTTACACTAGACTCTGAAGCTTGATCTGGTTGTAATGATGAATAAGACTACTCCACAACTCACCCAATCTACATAAGGAGGAAAATAGAGTTTCAGCAAAGAGGTTTACTTCAACTTACGATAGAGTATATTCATAAACATACAGCTCAATGGTTCATATACTATGAAAATGTCCTCAAGGTAGACAAATAAATCAGTAAGTTAAAAGTGAAAGAATAACGAATAAGAAATTCATCTTACTAAGAATGACAAAAATAAACAGTAAATGAGAGGTAAGATTTTTACCGAGTGTTGCTTTATACACATAGGTGGTTTTCTCAAGAATTTAACATCTACGCCACGTAAAAAAGAAAATCCCTAATTCTATTGCTGGTCGAAAAAAGAGGAATTTCGTATCAAAACACAAAACTCGAAGAAATTAATAGTGAATACATAAATCAGAACAAATAAATTAAGCGAACAAATATTTCTAATCAGTTTATAAATATCCAAACTAAGTTGGGATTTATAGTAATGATGGGTAGTGGCCAGCAGTGGAATACAGGATGCGCATTTCCTCCTATTTGGGACTCGTCAGCTGAATGTACCTGCTACCCAGTGAGTGATATTGTTTCCACCGGTATTCGTCTGAAGCGATCGCTTCCAAGTCCCATTCCCGGTGGGAACATCACTCGCTCGGAGGCAGGTAAATTTAGCTAATGAGTCCCAAATAGGATGAAATGTGCATCCTGAATTCCACTGCTAGCCACTACCCATCATTACTATACATAATTAAAACACAGGCAATATCGAGGCATCCGCACAGGAGCCCATATGACGACAGAGATTGATCAATTTAGTCCAATCAACGATGGTGTAATACAAGCAATAACACTAAGTTGGGATTTGATAGTTTGAAAAAATTCGAGCAATAAGCAAATGATATTCATCACTTTAGTAATTGTATTTCCCAATCAATATAGAACAAAATAAATTTGTTTTAACTGATGTTTCGTTATTTAATGCTAATAGCTTTGAGATGAATGGGGATTTTTAATTTCAGAAGTAGTATTCATCATGGACTGACATCAGTTGGGGAACCATTGAAAATCTGGGGGCACTAGACAGCTGTTTCGTCCTAGTATGGTAGTCCTCAGCAATACGCACCCACGACTCGGCTAGGGGTCCAACTCAGGACCTTCAGGTTTCACGGACAACGCGTTAACCATCCAGCCACTGGGTCGGTTTCCAGTGGTTCACAATTCCCAACTTCTGTCAATTCACGACACAGCGCGACTGTCACCCAAGGTCTTCCAGTTAGCATCCACGTGACCTGTGGGGTCAACCAGTCGGAAGTAAGTGGATGCTAACTGAAGACCTTGGGTGACAGTCGCGCTATGTCGTGAATTGACAAAAGTTATAAATTGTAAACCATTGGAAACCGACCCAGTGGCTGAATGGTTAACGCGTTGGCCGTGAAACCTGAAGGTCCTGAGTTGGACCCCTAGCCGAGTCGTGGGTGCGTACTGCTGAGGAGTCCCATACTAGGACGAAACAGCTATCCAGTGTTAATAGCTTTATCAAAATTATATTAAACCGGAATTTACAATATCCAAGCTTTTATATGATAACAAGTGTTCTTCTGCGTGAATGATTCTGCGTTGTCAGAATTGTAGAATAAACATGATATCCATCCATATGTAGTGTGTGAATTACAGATTGAGATTTGTAGGTACACATATGTCCATAGTTCTTATCGCATGTATGGTGGTTATATCAGTATGGGGTGGGGGTGGGGATGGATTGAGGCCAGGTCAACCTACATTTTACTCCCTCATTCCTTCCTATGTAGACAATTTTGATCCCACCTTATGTAAAGAGATTCTGCTATGAGATGTTCTTCATAATTCCTAAAAGCTTTCTTAATACTTTCGATATTGTCAAAATCGAACTTGTGATCTGAACTTACGATGTGTAGAGCTACGGTTAAAGTATTTTCCAACTTTTCCGGCTCTACTGCATTTCTTGGGGGTGGGGTAGGAGCCTGTCGGTATTCACTTTCTCCAATTTTGATTTCACGGGATGTTTTTCCTATCCACAGTGTATTGCAGTCTGAGCATCTCATTTTATGAACACAATTAGATTGTCAATCCAGAGGAATTTCGTCCTTCAAATGGGTTGTTAAAGTAACCCCTAAGTCATCGACCGCATTAATTGTCATCCCATACAGAACATACACTTCGGATGCATTCAGAAGAGTCCTCAACAAATGCATTATCAGATTGTCCTACAGAACATCATACACATCACACAGTACGTTAGCCCATTTGAAAGACGAGATCTCAATGGATTGACAATCGAATTGTGTTTATAAAATAAAGTGCTCAGCCTCCAATACAGTGTGCATAGAACTAGCCACCAAATCAAAATTGGAAGAAATGAACACCGACAAGTTTCCACCCGACTCCCTAGATATGTAGTAGAGCTGAAAAATACTTCAGCTGTAGCTCTACATGTCATAAGTTCAGGTCACAAGTTCGACTCTGACGATATCGAAAGTATTCAGAAAGCCTTTTAGAAATTATAAAGAAGGTCTTATAGCAGAATCTCTTCGTATAAGATGGAATCATAATCGTCTGCATAGGAAAGAATGAGGGAGTAAAATGTAGGTTGACCTGGTCTCAATCCATCCCCACCCCCACCACCCCATACTGATATAACCACCATACATGCGATAAGAACTATGAACATATGTGTACATACAAATCTCAATCTGAAATTCATACACTCTTCACAAACAACACACTACATGTGGATATCATCTTTGTTCAACGAAATGTTGACAAAGCAGAATTATTTATGCAGACGAAAACCTGTCAAGTTACCATATAATATAAGCTTGAATATTGTAAATTTCAGTCTATAATAACCTTTGATAAAGCTATTAGCATTGAATAACGAAACATCAGTTAAAACAAATTTATTTTGTTTTTCATTCATTGGGAAATACAAACACTAAAATCACAAATATTTCTTTTCAATTAGCTCATAGTCGATAGCTTTCTACTATTTCCAGATTAAACTAATGTATAGTAGCATTTTCGAATTACAAAGTAGCATACCAGTTTACTAGTGATTATTGATGCAGATAGCTACAACAGCAGCTAACGTATAGAATGATTATATAGTAAAATATGTGAAATTGTACACAAGTTATCGAATAACTGTTATCTATTTGACTATCTGAGATAGTCATGGTTTGCTAGGCTTGTACTGACACTGAGTAATGATTGAAGTTGGAAGGGAAATCCAGACCACGGTAGAATTCGAATTAGTCACCTCCGTGTTACAGGTCTGGTCATCGATTAACTAACCTACGCGACCCAGTTGCTGACTAAATTTTTTATTTCATTTCAATCACTAAAGGTTTTGTTCGAGTGCCCTGTGAATTCATAACATGTTAGTTACTATCTCCAATCAGAAATTTTCATCCCATCATTTCATCTTTAATCATCAGTCTATTAATATAAGCCTGGCAAACTATAGCTATCTCAGATAGTCAAAGTGATAATTAATATGATAATTCAAGTAGATTTGAACTGAGATGATAAGTTCTCATAAGGAAGCCCATGTGAGTAGGCATGCAGCGATAGTAACGTGTCATGAAATGAAATAAAAATTTAGCCAGCAGCTTTATCTCGTAGCTCAGTTGGTAGGCCAGTTAATTAATTGAAAGCACGAGATGTATTTCATAAATTTAGCAAACAATTGTCTTATTAAGTGGAAAAAGTTATAATAGATGCTACATTATTTTCATGAGACATTGGATATTTCCCCTAGTAAAGCTTTGTCTTAGGATTGGGGGGAAAGGGGAGGGGAGGGGGGGGATATAATGTCACAATATTGCATCATAATGAAACCTATAAATAAAACAAGATAGTTTATCATTTGATTACCTGTGAATCACTGTCAAATCTGCGTATATATCATGTTCAGGTAAGAGAAGATTAAGTTGAGCACTTGGCATATTATTTTGATGACGTCGTTTACGTATAGATGAATTATTATTTAATGATGGTATTAATCCACAACCGAATGCAACTGCAACAACTGGTGATAATCCTACACTATTAGATAAACCAACACCATTATTAGTACCATTCGATGGTATAATGAAATTAGTTCCACTAGAACCACATATTGAATTAACTCCATTATTTAGATAATTGTTTACACTACTCCCATTATCTGATGTACCAGATAGACAATAGGATGAATTTTGATAGAAATTAGAAAAAGATGATGTACTATTGCTATTCATAAAGACTAATAAATGTGATAACAAACTTCCATCAAAAAGATTTAAGCCTAAGCTTCCAAATATATTAGTTTTGGAAGTTGAGTTGAAGGATGAAGTGTTCGTAGCAGTAGTAGTAGTAGTAGTAGCAGCAGCAGCAGCAGCAGTAGCAATCGTCAATGATGCTGATGCTGATGATACACAAGAGGATGATTCATAAGTGTTACTATGTGTGCTTATTGCAATATCATTTGAAGTATTCTCTTTAGACTCATTTCCAATATTTGATTGGATTTGTAATGGATCCATATTTTCATCATCATTATTTGTAACAGGACTACGTATACCATTTGATAATTCAGATTTTTGTGATTTTGAATTTATACTTGGATTAATTGACCAACGTGAACCACAGAGTAGTAAATCACCCCAATATGTGAAATTAGCAGGAATGGAAGTAGATGCATCATTTCCACCACCTCCACCTCCACCACCACCACCACCACAAACACGTCGCCTTAATTTTCTAGTGAGAGCAGGTTTGAATTCAAGGATATCTAAAATAATTGAATAATAATAATAATAATAATAAATGAATCATTATCGTCATGTATATTAATCATTTAAAAAAACTAGCACAAAAATCTGATACAGCATTCATGTAGTACTTGTTTCACCGGAGACAAGCTAACTCTGACACTTATCCACAGTCATCAAATCAATTTATTGCATAATGTGATCACTATATGAGCAATATCAATGTTAAATGAAGGATACTAGACAAGAAAGGCAAGTCAGTCGATGAGGTTATGAACATCCACCGACTAGGGTGGCTTGAACACGTGTCACAGATAAACAGGAAGACAAAATCAAAGTAGAACCTCGCATACAACTCTGCATCGGTTCAAGTTACGACAATTCATAGTAGTATACAAAGAATAGGTGGATAGAAAAGCAGTGATAGAGAATATTTGTAGCTCAGGTGGATAGTCTTGATTGTATTGTGTTCTCTGAGGAGCTGGGTTGTTTAATCGTGAAGCTTTCATCGTCTTTCTAGATGACATCATTAGCACTAACTTCAGTCATGAAGTAAGCTATCAATATCTCTCCATGAGTGATTTAGTCGCTTGCTCTGACCAACTGGTTTGTGATTACTTGTTTCTTTTGATTGTCGTGTCATTGACTGTATAGATTTTCTTGTTGGCTGTTCCTCTGCTTGACCTCCGACCTTCCTGTTCTTGTTGGTTAGTACGTTGGGTCTGTCCATACATCTGTTGATTGCTGACTAATTGACCTGAATGCCAAGCTTCTAGGAATTCCCTTATATTCTTTGTGTTTCCTCTGTCCAAAATTTCTAAATTGTCAAAATCGAACTTATGTCCAGAAGTATCCACGTTCATTGAAAGGAGTGATGAAATGTCATGACGTTTAATAGCCGATTGGTGTTCATGTAGACGAAGGCGAAGAGGGCGACCACATTGTCCAATGTAGTGTTAACTACAGTTATTGAAGTTGATTTTGTAAATGATATTCGGTTTATACTCTTTGGTTGTTGTATCCTTTGATCTTCATATTGTTTGGAGGGAATTTGTTGGTTTATGAGTCACACCAATTTCAAGTGGTCTCAGTAATCTTCTCGTGATTTCTGATATATTCTTTATATGTGATACAATGATTCGTTTGTTGATTTCTATGGATGACTTTGTAGTTGGCTGTATACGGGATAGGCATCTTCTGATAACGTTTTGTGGGTAGCCGTTCTTCTTTAGAATGGACATCAAGTGATTTTCTTCGTTCCTCCGTGAAGTTGTTGTACTGCAGTGTGTTCTCCCTCTTTTGAATAGAGTCTGCACGTAACTACTTTTGTGCGTTGTTGCCACCGTACTTCAGGATTTGATCAGTGTGTGTTGGCTTCCTGTACACTTGGGTTTCCAGATTTCCGGCATTTGTCTTAGTGACTGAAACATCCAGGAATGGTAGTTGGTTGTTTGACTCCTTCTCCATTGCAAATTTAGTGTCATTGAAAACGTTGTTGATCAAACTGTGAGTGTTTTCTGTATCATCTTTTTTAATGACAACACGAGTGTCGTCTACATAGAGAATCCAAATTTGTGGTTAAATCACAGGTAGAATGATGGGCTTCCAGACTCTGCATCACTACTTCTGCAATTAGTCCGGATATCGGTGATCCCATTGGAATCCCTTTCATTTGTTTGTATAACTTGCCACTGAATTGGAAGTATGTTGTCAAGCGAAAGTTGATTAGTCTCATCAGACTTGAACATTTACGTTTTGTGCGTTCTGAAAGGTCTGTGTCTTCATTGAGCAGGAGGGAAATAGTTTCCTGGACCAATTGAGGTTCAATGGATATGTATAGTGCTGTGACATCAAAGCATACCATTACTTCATCGTCTTCTATGTTAATGTCTCCGACCTTCTCTGAGAATTTTGTTGGTGATTTGATGGAATATCAGCATGACTGAACGACGTGTTTCAGTTTTCTTGAAAGTTCACTTGATATGTTGTATGTTGGAGCTCCTAGAAGTGAGGCTATTGGTCATGACATCAAAGTGATATCAAAGCAGACAAAGGTGTATGGAGGGAGAGAAAATTTAAAAATTAAGTTGAATCAAAATATCCACACTTTAGAAGAAATCAAAGAGTGTTACATTCCGGAGCCACCATTTACTTCGTCATGAGATGTTGACAGAAGTAGGACTGCTTTTGAAAGAGGTGGTTTTTGTCGTACAAAGAGATGTAAACTATCCGCCTCCATTGCTCAAAATGACAGGAATCAATGATTGGATTACATTTTTTATATGGGTCAAAATCAATTACCATGGCCCAGATGTATACACCTTAGTTATTTTCATTAGCACTCACCTATTTATTCTTCCTCCTCTCATATACTTTTGCCTCCTTTATGTCATTCTGCTACGATGTGGAGTTATGAGAACAAACGATAATACTTAACGATTGATAGTCAAGGGTTGAGAAGATTCAATCCGAGTGATTCGCAAAGAGAAATCAAAAGACTAAAAATTAGCCGAGTTTATAGTATCTCGAACTGAAAGAGTTTACGAGTGAAAATGGACCCTATTTATAAAGTTTACAGTAACCTTGAAAGGCAAGGAATAATTAATGCACTTAAAGAGCTAGGAGCTAATCAGCACGCTAGCGCATCATTATGAAATATGATCAATGCGCGGGAAAAAGAGGGCGCGGAAAAGTAGTTCAAATATACTCAATATGGGGGGATATAGGGATTTCTAACACATTCATTTTCGATCCATCTTTTCTCCGACATACTGTTGTGAAGTGTGCCAACAGTATTCACACAATAATAAATTGAGCTCAAAGCAGTGTTCATTAATGACTTGTATTAGCTAGTGTCTGTTAGTAATTTGCTTCAAATGCTTCTCCCAAAGTTCTAATTAGATGTGATCTATGAGGTTAAGTAAGCTCAGTATTAGTTAGGACAGATACCATTAGGTGATGATTGCATTATATCACTCTGACAAACGGATTCCAACTCAGTAGTCAAATGAATGATAACATGTTCACTAAGGAGAGGTTTGACGGTCGAGTCAACCCCTAATGGAATCACAGATACTCTTAGATGAGAAAATCCATAGTAGGATACAACAATTAATCTAGTGTTCATCATCTTTTTTAGTGGTTCTTTAACTGATATCTATCCATGACGCAAATTACTTTAAAGTCGCAGTAAAGTGTTATCACTCAGTAATTACAGAAAGTATACTCGTTTCATTCTGTAGTTAAAACTTAATTGAGAAATTTACGTAAAATTTTCATTGTAAAATATTTTTTATCAAATTAGCATTTCATATATCATAAGAAAAGACAAGATGTAGTTGGAGTGAAGGAAAATTTTTCTTTTTGGACGAAATCATTTGCTAAGCTGTACACATTCGTGAATATATGTTATAATGAGGAGAACGTTCCAGAATTATTTCCCACTCTAAACCCACCCATCCAAATCAACATAGGACCAGGTATTACTACGTAACGGTTCGAGTTGCCACACCTTATATCAGTACATCAAGACAGTGAAGTGGAAGATGAAGAAGAAGAAAAACTCAGTCAAAAGAGATACAAAGTACTAAAATAGAGAAGTGAAGAGTGAGAAAATGGTGAGATTCGGTATAGCGTCGATAAGATGAGGATAATGTGTGTATACAGCTGCGCCATTGACGTCGGTTCTGAGCCATATCACCTAGAGTCAGTCTCTAACTACCGATTTCTCTTGTCTCTCGGACCCCAACCGGCCAGTTTGCATCACCCCATATGGCTCAAACCAACAGTCAAACACTTCATACATTGATGCTATGTTTTAGTCTGGCCGCCTGAAGCCTTTCTTCCAGCCAAGACCTACTTCAGCCCATATTGTGTGACGAGGCAGACGGTGACTAGGCATACGTAATACATGTCCCAACTATCTCAGTCGATGAAAGTTTACAACGTCATCAACTGACTTACTCAAATGTGCATTAATTAACTTCCTTTAGTTATTCAATATATTTTGCCCCCCTAGCCAGAAATAATCCTTGAACGTTCTCTTCACTATAACATATATTCACGAATGTACAGCTTAGTAAATGACTTCGTTGAAAAGAAAATCTTTTTCTTCATCTTATCTTTTCTCATGATCAAATGGGTGTATTCCGTCATTTTATATATGCATTAAAGTATTCTGTCATTATCATTACATAAAGTAACATTCAAAAATAGGAATTTTTAAGTATGTATCATATTGCTTTGGGTAATGGTCAGCAGATTTTTTATGCTATCTAACTGTGGGTTTTAACGAGTATAAATTTCCATAAAATGGTATATATACAATATAGATGAATACCAACACCTGAGAAATCTATACTCAAAACATCTTAGTGATACCATCCACCTTAATTATCTAGTAATTCAATGTAACACATAAAAAAGGCAACCAAATTTTCAAAGGGACCTTTTCATGATGAGAATATACTGTAAACGGAATGACTAAAATACAAATCAACAATTAACAACAGTAATAATAGTGTAGATCAGGAAAAAAGAAGAAGATTGTTTTACAATAAAATATGCTGAACACCTACGAAATCTTCTCTACATAACTCTACTGAATAGTCTTTGGATCAAGGTTAAATAAATTAACTGACCTCCGCTAGGAGTTAATTCAATATTCTTTTTATCATGTTCTAAGCGTCGTTTCAATTCTTCACATAATGATATTAAATAGGTTTGAATCCTTCGTTTTTCATGCTAATATTGTAAAGAAAAATTAATTGAGTGAATTAACAATAAACAATAAGCTTACTTCACAATCTCGATCACATGCTTCAGCCTCTTTTGTGTACTCACGATAAATTGTATCAAGCTGTGATGATAGAGAAAAATGGGTGAAAAGATGAAAAGGAAAGTAGAAATACACAATATGAAACAGATATATGTATAGATTATAATTCAAGTTGTTATTCATCGTAGACTGACATCAGTTGAAGGAACAAAGGAAACCTGGGAGCACTGGACAGCTGTCTCGTCCTAGTATGGGACTCCTCAGCAGTGCGCACCACGACCCCACCAGCAGGGATCGAACCCGCGACCTTCAGGTTCCGCGGCCAGCGCGTTACCATTGAGCCACTGGGTCAGAATCCAATGCTCCATATTTCCAACTTCTGTTAGCTCACGATATATAGCGCAACCGCTACCCAATGTCAACTCTGAGTATCTGTCCTCATGGCCATCAGGCTTTGACTCCACCGGTCACGACTTCTCATTGGAACTTCGGGAATACTTCTCGAAGCTAGTCGCCAATGAGCACCAGTTCAGTTAAATTTTTAGGGGGAGTTGTGGCGATTTGGAATTATTTCAAGTTGTTATTCATCGTAGACTGACATCAGTTGGAGGAACGAAGGAGGAGGAAACAGCTGTCCAGTGCTCCCAGGTTTCCTTTGTTCCTCCAACTGATGTCAGTCTACGATGAATAACAACTTGAAATAATTCCAAATCTCCACAACTCCCCCTAAAAAGATTATAATTCGATATTTTATTATTCACAGGGTATATCGGTCTTACTTCAGACAAGTAGTTCACAATTCTAAGCATTGAAAGGATTTGAAATAACACTGAGTAACTAATCACATGAATAATACCAGAATGCAGAGAAGTTAACTTGACTATAATCTTGATTTCGAAATGTGCTTATAAATCTGCAAGTTTATATGAACTGGATAAAAATTGGATTCTCTAAGACTTCTAAGTAAATCTCTTCTAGATGCAAATTTTCAATAAAATCATTCATAGAATAACGGTTTCGGAAACGACTGCTACTCTATAATGGTATCGTTTATATATGATCCAGGTGAGTTGACAAAATGACTCTTAAATGTAGAATGCAAACTTTCAGCTTAACCGTAAAATATATCGCAATAGGGATCTATGTGAGAAACTCTGCAAGAAAAAATACAATACTGCCATGAATAAGAAACATGTAAGAGAACACGGAACAAAGTGAGATTTTCGGATGCAGATAAATAGCCACGAGTAATCTGGAATGTAGCTAACAAAATTGAAGAGATTTTCTGACTTGTAAAGAATGATCTCTGCCACTGTTCTGAAGAGGATGTAAGTATGAGTTGTTGATGCTGTTAGCAATATCCACACAACAATGATGCCATCTATCTTGTTTAAAAGGGTAAGATCAAATGAAGTACCAGACGCCACTGTGCTGCAGCAAAAGTAGAGTGGTGTCTTCTTCAGTATTCTATTAGAGTTTGCAGAGTAGATCTGCATATTTGGAGGTGAACCAGGAGGCGTTCTATCACGAGCTGTGTGAGGATTTACCTTCCGAAGAAATTAATGTACTTCACAGCAACCTTGGCGTCCAGATTCGACTATGTCAAGTTGAAGATTTACCAGACGCTGATATTCTGTAAATATGTCACTCAGAGTTAGCGTTGGATCTTCATTCAAAAGATTCAGCAATCGCATTCTAATGTCAGTAAATTTGATGATTGAAAGCTACATATCAGTGTAAGGGATTTAAACTGACCTGTTGAAGATTTGAATCGTTCAAACTAACGGCTGACGATCCAGACATGCGTAAGGAAAGAATATTTTTCATCTATTACCATTGTGAGACAGTCGTATTTTGCACTGAAAAGCAAGGAGTAATTTCGGAAGTGTTCTCGGTGTTTGAACTTTGGTGTCGAATGTGCATTCAAGTGCATTCTAGGGCAAAATTATGTTACAGTATTGGTCTAATTCGGCTGAACTCAATTTTAAGCGTAGTAAGCGCACCTTCCAAGTACCATCATGGCCAGCAAAATCGCACGTTTATACAGCTTGAACCACGTATCAAAAGTAACACTTGCGTCCGGTTCGTAATGAAATATCGTGATTTTATTTACATTATCATCAACAGAAGGAGCAGTTATACTGGGAGTCGCATTTGGTAGTTTAGCAGAGGTAAGTCTTGCGTCAACGAGAAACTCGATAATCTTTGTTCGTTGATTTAGAAATCGATTAAACATTGCGAAATCCATTTTTAAACACCTTATCATCACCGGTGACATTTTCGGATGCAGCTTAATGAGGATTCATAATCTAGATACAGGATGAACGATACGGTACTCGATAACTCACTCCGCTACTAGGAAGAAGACAGTATTGAAGTGAAGAGAGTTCACTTCAATCTGAAAGCATCAATTTAGGGGTACAACTCTCGCGTTTACATACGATGTAAACTTGTTTGTTGCGAAAAAGTAAATTATCATGCTAAATGTAGGAGATTAATATTTAGAGAAATACATCCAAGGCAGGAAATAAGCGTGAACAAGATAATTTAAATTTCTGTACAAGGTAATCATGAAATTTCAGCATCAAACGTTCATTTTTGAGAATCCAACATCAGCAATAGACGAATACTAAGTGATGAAAATATTCATTATTACGAGTATATTGAAGTGTGAATATACATCTGTACTATCATGGTTGAATATTCTTTCTGTGTGACAAGAGTTAGATTGTTTCAGATTCAACTTTGGAAATCCAATTCACTCATATGCATATATATATATATATATATATATATATATATATATATATATATATATATATATATATATACGCTGATTTAAAGGCCATCGACTGTAAAAAACAAGTACCCTATAGTAAGTAATTTAAATATCAGCTACATCAATATTTGAACACAATTTCGCCCTAGGTGTTAAATGCTAATCGAAAGCTTACCAGCTTGTCTAAAAAGAGTATCTATACCGTTGAAGAAGCTGATACTCTTTCCTAGAGAATTCTAACGTGCAAACCTCGAAAAAAAAATGTAGCTAAAATATTTCAATTATGAATGGACTAGATCATGTTGGCCAACAAGTTTCTCTGTGGTAACCAGTGTAATAAACCAATAGTTCATACATATATTATACTTAACTTAATATATCATTATACATCAGGTACGAACCTTACACGGAATATCGGTTATACCAAGATTACAGATCAACTTTGCTGCTGAGTACCAGTAAGATGTATTCAAATCACAGACTTCTTATTTTTATTCAGGCTCCTTAATACTGTGTGCTTCAGTTTAGTTATCTTACAGCAGAATATACCATCGAAACTAAACACATAAATAACGAAAATCCAACTCGGAAACTACATGCTAGTTTGAACAGAATGCCAGGAGTGAAAACTATTATACGAAGGAAGACTAACGACATTGCTTGCATGCCAGAACTTAGGCAAGCGAAACACATCTTGATCTTGTGACCCACTAGTTGATAACAGACTAACTAATCAGATAAATTAAAATTCAAAATAATGAATAATAATGAGATAGTAGTTACTGCCTAAGTGACAGGCAATTGGCATACTTTTTTCCAGTTGAAAAGCTCACAAAATGAATGATCTAACTTATTTATGAAAACGTTACGAGAAACCGATCTCGGCAATGGTTTAATTAATTACTTGTGAGTAGCACACAACCTACTCCAGTCTCAATATACAGGTAGCCTCATCAACCATTAGTAAATATGCACGGTTCATAACTATTTACCATAGTTACTTCTGTGACCGGTAATGAGACCTAGCAGTCTATGAGCGATACGAACCTAACGCACGAAAGAACCTGTTCTAATCGCTAATAAGAATGTCAAATACCACCGGCACACGAAGAGCTATAACTGTCTCAATAACAGTCAAAACAGTTGAGAGGGATGCTGAATACATACATTCTAAACGACCTTGACAAACACTAAACTCACTAGTAGGTTAAAAGAGTTGACAACCAATGAGAGTTCAGCCTTCAGAAGCAGTGGCAAAAAGAAAAATTGGCAACAGCGCAAAGAGGGTACAAAAGCAGGAACAATAAACACATTTTAATGTTATAGGCAAATATCAGGCAAAACTTAGGCACAGTTAGGGGTCACTGATTACAAGTACTTATATTTAAAGGTAAAAAATGGCACAATAAATCCTTCTACTTACCTTATGTTCATGTAAAATTTGTATACGTTGTTTTTCTTCTGAATACCAATTTTCAATCTCTTCACGAATTTTAACATATTCTATGGTTGTATAGTGGTATCGAAATTAAAAAAAAAAATTACCTGGATGCTTTTTATTAGCTAATTGATCTATCTGGTCCTGAATACTTGCAACCTTTGAGTTATAAGTATCTTCGATGTCGTCACTAACATCGCTGAGGTCTTCCTGTGCTACTGCCGATGCTGATACGCAACTAGAGTTTTCTGTGTGTTTTCGCTTCATTTACATAAAGATTTTCATAGTCTTGTTACTATAAGAGTAATATATGTGTAAAGAAAAGAAAGAATGTGAAAAGTGAAAGGATACAACAAAGGCTCAAACTAGGTGTAATACACAACTCAATAGCCATATGTACGTTCATGTACTAGGCTATGAGCCATATCTGTTATTTAAGTTTATCACACCACCTGACTACCAAAACTTCGGTAAAGATTACGGACTGAACAAGTGAATCACTGCTTACTGAAGTAAAATTATGGTAGTGTACGTTATAACATTAATCCATAAGATATTTAACTTTTGGTCTATGCAATTTATAAAGCTGTAGGCCTCCTCTTCAGGACTTGCTCACTAGATCATAAAGATAATAGAGGAGTACCAGATTTGGTTCGAAATCTGACTGACTGACTGACAAACTGACTGATAAAATCAACGTAGAACGCCACAAATAACAAAAGTACAGATGAGCTGGATATAAAAACGGGGTGGAAAGGACACTGCCTCACATGCTGTCCACTAACATCAAACCAATGATGGATACAGGTAGATCATATTGCTATAAGCCATATTCGAAGGATTACCACTCTTTCTAGAGTTCCAATTTGGACCCCGATTACGCACTATAAGGAGCTTGTGTATGGCTGCACCTTACTGGTCACAAGAAACAGGAGTAAGTAAAGCCTTTATATGCTCGAGGAAGCCAAGTATGTATTTAAAGGAATTAGTTAAGCATTTATCTGAAAGTCATAGCAGTGCTCATCCCCAGGAAACCTGGCGTTATATTAGGTCTGCTGTCGAAACAGTGGTAAAGACAATTGGTAACCTACACCCGAAGGTTAGCAAACGTTACTGGATTTCCGCAACGTCATCCAAACTGATTGATGAGAGAAGACTGATTCCAGCTGGGTCTAACCCCAATGAAAGGGTGAAAGCAATTTAAATTTAAATTAACCAACAGTCTTTAAGTCAATCGCGACAAGTGGTGGGTGGCGAAAGCGATACGACCCTAAGCAGCAGGACCTGATGGCTTGCGACAAAAGGCTTTTAAGTAAGGTGGTAGTGAATTAATGAGTAGAGTAACGAAGACAAAAGGTAGTGTATAAGAATCAGAGGTACATCTGTTAGGTTGCTCCACTTCACCGATCATTCCAGTCTATGAGAAGGGAAAGAAGTCTTCTCGTGACAAATATGGAGAATCACTTCAAACAATATAGTGCTCACGATCTTTGCATCCACAGCTATTCGACGCCAAGCCGGAGCTCGCAAACAGCAAACTCGAGAAAACCAAGTAGGCTCCAGACCTGTACAAATTTACACAGATCAGATATTCAGCCTCCAACATGTTCTGGAACACAGGCATAATTACCAGCGGTCAAAACTTGTTATACTGCTTAACCTGAAGGCAGATTTGACTCAATCCACCGTTAGGTGATGTGGTAGAATCTAACTGTGAAGGGAGTACACCCAGCAAGTGTATAACCCTTATTAAAGATCTCTACCATAAATCTTTTATTTTTAACGGCCGTGTTTCACGGCTGTCCAACATGATAGGTGGACTGCAGCACAGTATGCCCGTCCTTGGTTAGATAGTCGGGTATCTCCACAGTCGGCACCACAGGTGACTCATGTTGGCAAATGCCAAACGAACCTTCTGTATCCGAGCTGAGATTTCGTCAGCAACCAGCCCATTCGGGCTGATGCAACCTCCAAAGTGAGTGAAGTTGTCGACATATTCCACTACTTCACCCCTTATCATTAAACTGGGAGTGGTTACAAACCAGTCCTGGAGCGTCGTCTTACATTCAACAGGTGTAAAATGCATCCCAAGTATACTCAGATTTCTGCTCAAGGAGTTCAGAAGACCCTGCATTTTGTCAGTGTATTCACCTAGTTGGAAAATATCGTCTACATACTCTAAGTCAGCCAAATGACCTCCAGAGAGTAGTTCAATGCATGTGAAGTCAGACATACCTAAGGTTATGTCCATTAATACGTCTATGACGAAGTTAAATAGGAACGGCGACAGTGGGCAACCTTGGCAGATACCATTAGTCGTCGTCAATTCTGATGATAACTCTCCATAAGCCCTGACACGGCTGCGTGAGTTCGAGTAGAGAACTTTGATTAGCGTTATATGATTGCTTCATACTCCCTTTGCAGTCAGACGCTGCCACAATAACTCACTTAAAGACGCCCAACACTGGCTGTATTTCTCAACCTGGATGTGGCATTTGACTACTATGATAGAGAGGAAAACAGGTTTGGTGTCATCTCGAAGGTGGAGGAAAGCTTGGGATGCCGTGCAGCAACTGCGACCAGGTTTGAATACATTTGGGGAACGTTGGCTTATGTAGCAGATTGTCAGCTGACACCTGATCTTATTACAAATACCACGTAGAGGCATATCCGAGACACCAAGATTCTCAAAACAATCGAGATCCAGGAGGTTTGAATCAGCGTCAGATAGATGACAAAATCCATTTATCGAAGTATCGTGAAAAGATACAGTACATCATAACCAACCTGTTACTGGTAATCGGCCACCACATGCGCTAATAGCAGTTAATCCAGTCTTCTAGAGAGGAGGTCAGTTACTCTTCTACCATAGCTTCTTAGGAATAATCATAATATTGAAAGCCATGTCGATTTGTGATCGTACTGGATGCTTACTTATCTGGACCGTGATATATTTTCTCCGTGCTGGTGCACGTGCTTGAAAAGCAGCAGCAGTAAGACTAAGAGATTCGCCAACTGGTCGAGACTTCGATCTTCGACGGTTACTGGATGGTGACTTGCCTGTTCTTTGTGATGGGTACTGCCTGCGAAATTCGTTCTTGTGAGCAACAGTACTACCATTTCTGTATTTTTCTGCTTATAAGGACAAGATTTGACGAAATGTCATGCACCACAATGCCAGCAGGGGGATGGAGAGGTCTTCTTCATGTTTCCTATGGTACTGTATGATCTGTTCGGATGACGAACAGAAGACGAAGAACCAAGGATCTTTCGGCCAGAGAGAGGATACAGAAGAATTAGGTGTCTAGCGAACCCTATGAACTTCATGATCACCCTGGAGTCCGGATTGGACTAAACTTGTATCCTGTTTCAGGTTGACCAATCATCGATATTCAGCAGCGATATCATTCAACGTTAGTCTTGGTTCTTGCTCCAACCGACCTGGCAATCTTACTCTAATATCTATGAATTTGGGGGACTGAAGGCTGCATTAGTATCAAAGATTTGAATTGGTCATCGGTGATAGACTCAGCTGGAATTTCTCGCATTCGCGATTAACAATACCAACGTGAGTGAGGGAATCATCATTCTTGTTCAAGACCAATTTAAGACAACGATATCTGGCATTGAAAAGAGACGAGTGATCACCAAAGTGTTGTCTTAGGGTCTGTATTGTGGCATCGAAGGATCGATCTCTTGGATTCTGTGGCAGTATTATAGTGCAGTATTGATCCAATTCGGATGGACCAAGTTTTCAAAAGAGGAGATGAACTTTCCATGAATCATCTTAACCAGCAAAATCAACTCTGAAGTGGTCTTCATATCTTCGAAACCAAGTATCGAAAGTCACATTAGCATCCGGATCATAATGAAACTGGTTGCAATTCCGTCGACTGAAGGGGCTGCTGATATGGCAGGCATAGGATTCGATGCTTCAGCTTCAGAAATTCTGTACTGAGTTATTGACCCAGTAATCTTCATTTGTTGTTCGAGAAATTTGTCCAGCTTCAAAGAGTCCGTTTTTGATCCCATCCCCGTCGCTACTGCTGTGACCCGCGGTATATATAACGATACAGTACTCCGACGCAAGACGATTACCAATAGAACAATGACTTCTCAACTCAATATTCAGCTGACACCAGAAGAAAATAACGGGATTGAAAGTATTTTACTCCAACCGAATGAATTTAGTTGAAAACTCAGTTGTTTGTATGTAAGTCAAAGAAGTTAACTTCGTTCAGACACAATTTTGCAATAACCATACTACCAAAGGTCTGCCTATTGTTGTCCTCCTTCAAAGAGATTTTTTGGTAGAAAAGTTCTTAATAGATCTAGAATATGCAGATGACATGGTTCAGTTAGGTAAACACGCTGACAGGATGTGGAGCCTCCTGGACACATTGGGTGACAATTTGAGTATGTTTAGGATGTGTTTCATGGCAACCAAATGCAAATTGTGGTTCGAGGACTGGTCTTCGCTGGTGCTTTGTCTAAGGATAGGGATTCGAGTGGTTTAAAGAGTTGACCACTTCACTTGAGAAGTGGGATCAACCCTGGTGGATCAGTGGCTGACGAAATCTCTGCACAAACACAAGAGGATCGCTTGACTTTCGCCAACTCACCCCACTTTGGGGTCAATGGCACGATATCCGACTGTCTATTAAGTGTCTCGTATACTGTGCTGCAGTTCACTCTGTTCTACCATATAGTTGTGAAACATGTCCACTGAAGGTAGAGGATATTGAGACTTCAGGTGTTCGATCACCGTTGCCTCCGTAACAGAGGCTGTGTGCTGGTGTCGCTACTTCGGTAACTGAGAAATGGAGATTCAGGTAAAGGAGGGAAGTTAGTTGATGAGGTTATGAACCTTCATAGGCTTAGGTAGTTGTGCATAACTAGTCATCTTCTACCTCGTCCCAAAATGTCAAATGTAACATATCAGGTTAGAAAAATGTCAAGGGCGGGCAGACTAAGACGTGGAATCATTGCATGAAGTCTTTGACTGTTGGGAAGTACAGGCTTACCGGTTGGGGGCCACGTTATAATAGAAACCAGCATTTGAAGACTGCAGGTGACATATCTCTGTATCAATCTGGTGCAGAGGCATCCATACATTATCCGCATCTTAATCCTACTTCCTCCCCCGAAATGCCCTGGCGTATGTTAACAGCCTCTGCTAGAGAAGTCCTATTCACTGTCTTCCAGTGGCCGGGGTGTTCTTAGAGAAATGAAAGAGCGTAAGCGAATGTTCGGCGCTTATCACGATTGGTCGATACTGAGGGTCCACCTAGGAGA